TGTTTGCTGCAACCCACGAAGGCCACTTTGAAGTGGTGCGATTGTTGCTTGAGGCTGGAGCTGACAAAGATGCAGCAGCGACAGATGATGGGTTGTCAGCATTGTTTATTGCTGCCCAGAAGGGCTACTTTGAAGTTGTGCGATTGTTGCTTGAAGCTGGAGCTGACAAAGATGCACCAACAACCGGTGGGGTGACGGCTTTGTTTGTGGCAGGCCAGAACGGCCACGTGGAAGTTGTGCGCTTGTTGCTTGAGGCTGGAGCTGACAAAGATGCAGCAAGGACAGATGGGGCAAGGGTTTTATCTGTAGCAACCCGCAGGCGATTGCTGGTTCAAGCTGAAGCTGACAAGGGTGCACCAACGAGAAAACGGCCAGAGTCTGGGCATTGGTAGTGGGAACATGAGTTGATTCATTCCAATTGTTACATAAAACTATACAGTACTAGTGGAAATTTAGTTGTGGGACTGAGCCTCGAATGAATTATTGAAATTGTTGACAATGTATGTTTGGGATGCCTTTGATAAGGTCAAGTATTAATTGATATCAGGAGTTGATTTTTAATGTTCAGATTTGTTGAGATGTATTTCAAAACACGTACACAAAATGACTAGTCAGTTTGATGTGACAGACAGCAATAAATGTTTGGCGTGTGCGTGCTCAAGCACAAAGATCTGAGTCTGATGCGTAAAAAAAAGTGTTCAAAGCGCTTACCAGAAGGACAGCATGCATTCACACACTGGGTGCGAACTGTTTTTTTCCTCAGTTGGGGGTTGGTCAGGTGTTAACCTGCCGTGATTCCTGGTTGTTTCAGGCTTTGCAGAACTCAAGCAATGGTCAAGTATATAGTTTGGTCAAGGGCACCCCAAGCAAAGAACCCCTGGAAGACCCACCAGGTTGCAAACACAGGAAGACCCACTCGATTCATGCTTGATTCTATTCATTTGACACCCGAACAAGGGTTGACATATGTTTACACCTACCCCATCTCAATTAAGACAACTAGTTGAAGGTAGCGTAGTTCAAGCATCATGAGGGGCCTATGTGAATATGGTTCCCACAGAGAAAGATGTCACCCCAAACCCAGACAATCCGCAGGGTTGGAATATTTGCCTACTTTAGGGCGTTTAGGGTCGCTTAAGGTTTTTTAGGCTGTCAATGCAGGTAAATCTTTTGCGCGCTTGGATTGTTGGGGAAGAAGAAACGTGCCTTCTGTTCAGGTTATACCAATAGACATGTTAGAGAGTGGAATCATCTCCCTTCTTGTGGGGTAGAAAATGTAGACACCACTGTTGCCCATGCGTGCAAGATTGTTTCAAGTTTGTTGGAAAGCTCTTGTGTAATTACAGTGTATCGTCCTGGTCTCCGTGTCACCGACCGTTTGACAGCACACAGTGAGGCCGTTCTAGCCTTATAACCGTGACCACACACGGTGAACCCCCCGCCCTCATCACTGTCAGATGTTTCTTTGTTGACCCTTGCGCCCATCACAGGCCCAGTGGTCTTTTCTGTTTTCCGCCCAGCCGAGGCTGAAGCCCTCGCCAAATTCCCCGACGATGCCCGGGGGGATGCTGCGCAGAGCGTGGGCCGGGGCAGCCCAGCACGCGGCTGTTCCTGGGTGAGGTGAGCGGCCCCTGTGGCATCGAGGAAGATGCAGTTGTTCGGTGTTTGCCATAGCTTGGGTTTCTTTGGTTTTGCGCGCATGTTTATTTATCGGGTGGAGAGATTTTCACACGAACCCGACGGAAAGTTTGGTTCACCATTTTGCATCCTCTTGGGGAGCAAAACAATGCTTGATCATCCTCCCGAAGACCCAGGATCCAGGATCTGAATGTTTCGGAAGTGTCGGGACTGGATCTAATGTCGACAGTCTACAATGGCACAGTTAGCTTTCCAAGGTGGTGGTTTGGAAGATGTTCCCTTGTAGTTTCAGTTTCCATATGTGTTTTCATCCCAATTGAGTCATTGTTGGAATGTCTTCAATCCGCAACCAGTTTTGTTGGTTTGTTTCAGGCTCATGTTTGCAGTTGCCATAATAGCGTGAGTGTTGAACATCTCAAACTTGACGTGGCCCTAACCGCGCACGTCTTAGAAGGTTTGATGATCGGCAATCCATGCAAAAAGTATTTACATTGCATGTATTTACCTACATGGATGGGTGGTTATATAGGATGTTTTAAGTGTCAATGTAGATAAACCTTCCAGTCCCAAGGATGCTTTGGAAGAAAACACATATATCATATGGTTGCAGAGCTCCGAAGCGACGTCCCAAGCGAGTCGGTCGTGGGTTTCTTCGCGACATGACCGGTGTGGGACGACACGGGAGGTCGATGAAAAGCATTGCGCTTCCCACGGAGCTGACATCGTTGAGTTGCTGTTTTTGGAAAGGATCCCCTTCCTTAGAGTGGGGTTCTACATGGGGTTCATCGAAGTTTCGGGAAAACACCGTGGGTTCGGCGGTTTGCCCAGAGAAAGGGTTTAGACTGTGCCAAGACAAAGAAACCACATGTTGTACCAAGAGTTGACAGACAGAGGTCTCTGTGGTCCCTTAGATCACTCGACTGTTGTATATACAGTATACTAACATGTTTGTGAACTGGTTTGATGTGATGAAGCACGTTTCTCTTTGGATGTTCTTCGAAAAACATGACGATAACATGACATGTTAGCATCATAGCAGGATTCTTTTACATCCCCAAAAGAAAACTTGCCATATCCGTGGACTGCAGACTCCTCACCCTCGAAACGAAGGCCATTTGGGCCAATCCGTGGTCGGTGGTTTCGGGGAGTGGGGCGGCAGAGATGTCCAGTCCGGAGTGTTTGGTATTGGCCTCCAAGCCTCCCAGCAGACTCTTTTTGAGGCTTAGGGTGATGCCATGTCACCCTGGAAGCTCGATGTCCGGCCCCGATCGCACAGCACTGTCCCGACCCTGGCGCCCGACTGATCGCGCAGCCCGGCACGTCCGACAAGCTCCGACCGCTGCAGGCGCCGTCGCCAACTCCCTCAGTCGCTGGGACCGTCGGTGTCCGAAACCGCGCTAAAGCCGGCGAACGCGGGGTCAAGTGAATGGGGCGATACGTGGCTTCAGAATGGTACGCGCCTTGCGCCTTGGGGTGGCAAAGGTGGATGACCAGCAGAATGACAGAGAATTAAGAATTATCACCTCACCTCAGCTCTAGGATACCCTACTATGCACTAAACTCATGCGCTCGTGACTACGGGAGTGATCCACATAACAACGCATCAATGCCAAGTAGATCGGGTTGACCAGTTCACATCAGTTCACGTGTTTTTCTTGATGAGGCCAGGTCTGAAATTGCCTGGGTGGATTTTTGTGTTTTTAACACATCTGGCCTTATAGACAACAACAGCAACAACAACAGCAGAAACTATGTTAAATTCGACCTGGAGCCAAGCCCAGTCATTTGCACCAAAGTCTGAATATCTGAATGTATGTTCAATATACAACTAGTAACAGCCGGAGTATAATCCAACGTCCCCCCTCATTCGCGGGGGTGGGGGAGTCGAAGTCGACCCCCCGAGCGGCGGGCTGACCCGCCCCTCGCGGCCGTCAGGCCGTTCATTTGGGGAATCCGCATGGAAACCGCATGGATCTGTACCAGGACCCTCACTGCCAGGGGAGACCTCCTGCGACTTCGAAGTCTGCATTTCAGCCTCCACACGGAGACCTCCTGCGGTTTTGGTGCTGGTGATTAGGAGGTCTTTTGTTTTGCGGAAGCGAAGTTGAACACAGGGCAGGGCAGCCATCGGAGTGAAAGAAGTGTTGAGGATCGAAAGCTAAGATAGCTCTGATTATTTGTGGCATCTCGACAACAGGTTTTGCATTTTACATAATGTGGAAGGTGGTCAGAATAGTATAAAATGGTCAGGTCATATTCCAGAAGCCTTGAGAGGAGGTCCCCGCCACCCTTCATCCCTCGCCTTTTGTTGTGCCGTCCTTCCTTGAATCCGACAACAACACAGACAGATGAGGCCGCTTGAAGACGACCGACTGGACGGCCGACTCTGCTGCTAAGCTGCTGTGGTCTTTGGCAAGATATGGGAAGGGCGAAGAGATCCAGAAGCACAAGCAGGCGCAAACTTTACAACGGGAGCGATTGCGGAGATGGTTTCTGCTGGTTTCTGCCATCATCAGGTACTCAAGAGCTTTTGAAAGAGCAATGCAGATGGAAACCTTGATGATACGATATGATAGATATTCTGGTAAAGTCTGTTCTCTTTTTAATGTGCTGTTAAATGCTGTTAACATGTTTGTAGATTTTGTTGTTTTTGACTTTTAACGTGGAGAGTGGAAGTATGTGGAAGTACTTCCATACTGATCACTTGTTACTTGCACGGTATGTTCTTGGGAGTAGTGTTCTTGAACGGTGGTGGATGACCGACTTCAGGCCGTCTCATACATTGTGAAGGACACGATCGGGTCGGGTGGGCAGATTCCACCATGGCGACGGCTTTCGGCGATCAGGGCGTAAGATATGTTTGTATGTTCAAATGTTCAACTTGGGATGATTGAACCCACTGACTCAGAGGCTTTTTGTTTGTGAAGCCCACCAAGCGAAGCGATCTTAGGTCTGACCCCAAGCGAAGCGGTCCGTGATGACCGATGACCCCATAAAAGGAAGCTCAAGCACCCCCCCATGACCCGCTCAATGGATCCAAAGACCATCGGAAAAAGCGGTCCGTGTTGAACGGTGCCGTTGAACGGTGAACGGACAACAAGCACGTCCATCGGTGCCGTTGAACGCGAAGGGACGGTAGAATCGGTCACGTCGCGGGAAACACTAAGTCGCTCGGTCAGCCTTGCGCCCTGGGACACATCGATGTGAGTCACGTCGCGAGAGACCGTTGGGAGGAACTCAAAACTCTGATGTGGTGGCCAGGGGTAGGGACGTAGGGTCAGAGCAAAGGATCGATCGTTCAGTTCTATATCGCTGTCGCTGTGCAGCCTGGTTTCGCTTCGCTGGCCTCACAAGATTGCCCACAGAATAAAGAACGCATGGAATCCAAATGGAGAGGAGTTTTGCGAAAATATGTGCAGTGACCTTTGGACAAGAAGTTTAATGTGTTCTACTACAAAGCCCCCAATTTGGAACCGAATCAAGTCGCCTTGACTTATGTACTGGGGATTCGTTGCAGGTGCTTTCGATTCCCTAAAGGAATTGGCCAACACTGAATGAAACATGGGTTGAAACCAAAAAGGACAGAGCATCCCTTTGACCCCTTTAAACACACTTCAAAGGAAATCCCAACCCAAGAGGGGTCGTCCCATGTTTCAAAAAACACTTCAAAAATGTTCGTGGTCGTCCCTTCCCAAGAATTCCCAACCGTTCCAAACCGCTGCACCAAATCAACCAAAAGCACACACCCAGCCCCTTTGCCATCCTCTGCCTTCGTGGCGTCATCGTTTTCGCAGGAGTTGGTCCGAGACAAAGGGCGGCGCGTTCATGAGCTGTCCTACGAAGCTCTGACCCATATGTTGTGGGCCCGAAGCCCAAGCAGCAGTGCAGATGTTGGTTCATGGAGGTAGGCTGGTTGAAGAGTTCCTATTCAGAACAAGCTGCATTGGCTTTCTACTTGAGTGCCTGCTGCATGGCTTTCTACTTGAGGGCCTGGGTGTTCACAAGATCGTTCTTATATAGAAACTATGTGGAAAAACTAGGGTGGGGGTCCCAGAAGCATAGCACCGACTCCGGATGACTCTGGAAAAGACTTCCAGGCTCGGATTCCAGGCTCGGAATCTCCAAGTGTTCACCTGGATCCTGACGTCGATTCAGCACCTTAGAATCTTGGCTCATGACTTGGACTCAAAAACAGGTCTATATATATAGATCTGTACTCGTGTTCCCGGGGACGGATCAGGTGGACTCCGAAGGCACATGAAATGGACACATCGGTCCTGCCAAGATGAATCCGCAGTGCAGCATGGAGAAGAACCAACGAATGGAATCGCAAAGCCTGCAGCAGCCTGCGGGCTTTCCACATGGTACCATGTTCTACCTACTCCCATCTTCGCCCATGCCTCTTGTGACGATTCCGTCTAGTCGGGTTTGCTCCTGAACTTCTTCGAACTGTACCCTCGATGTTCACCCCCCCCGAATCTGTTTGATTCCATCGATTATCGAAAAATCAGTTCTGAAGACGCTGCAGATGAGTCCAGGCACACTGAATTAAGAACACATATCGGAAACAACATCATTGAATACCTCGTTTCCCGTACCTCGCCAGAGAACCTCAATATTTGTCCCTTTGGTTCCCTGGGGGGGTATCCATTTTGTTTCGGTCTCCAGACGAATCGCTCCATCCCCTGACCTCGCTCCATCCCGAACCCAGGCCGTGGCGCGTGCCCGCCTTCAGAAGCGCACCGGGGATTTGCAGTCCGTGCACACCGAGGCGACCGACCGTGACGCGGGTGTTTTCAGCACTTCGCCCAGTGGCCCATAAGTAGGGTAGTCTATGGTAGTCTATATACTATACACCCAGACAGGATGCTCCAGGTGGTCTGTGTTTTGCTTCGCGTTTGAAGAAGGCGCTGTTTTGCTTCGCCCCGAGGAGACAGTGGCCAGCGGCATGTTTTGTATTGACTTATTGTGATTCTCCCGATGGGAAGGGCTTTAAAGGCCAACTGGCAGCAGCCGTGCGTGGGCTTCGGGGAAGATCACAGTGTTTGGCCATTTTTGCCCTACAGGCTTCCAAGCACCGGTGCTTCCCGAAGAACCATTACTATAAGGGATATATATAGACCCAGGTCTTGGAAGATGAGCCCACCTGCAAGGGGTTTTCGATTCACTGAATGAACGAGGATCCCAACTGAACAGTGAAGCCACCTGGATGCGGATGATCATGCCTGAGATTCATTGGAAAGCCATTGCCAAGAAATTCCAGGATCGTCAGGGTGGTGCGGACTCTCCCCAGGTGGCCACTTTAAGAGGCAAAGGAAACTCCACACAGCATTTGCGAAAGATCTGCCCGATAAACAAGGTTTAAAGACATACTCGGCCGGTTTATCGGTTGTGAACACATGGCGGTGAGGCACCTGCCATGTTGACATGGATTTAATACGGGTTGGTTTCTGAATGCAAATGTTATTAAGTTAAATCAAAGATGCTTCGATTCCTAGGCTGCTGTATACCCATTGCTTCTTCATGACCAAATACATCCCATCAACTATGAATCGAACCCACCAAATCGTCGCAAAAGAGCTTTCACTCTTTGATCCGTTTTCCCTTTAAATAAACGAACCAACTCAACTCAACACCACAAAAGACTTTCACTAATTGACGGGACGGACGCCAAGGTTCTCATTGTTGAGTCTAGCTTCTTGTTACACGTAGCTTCTTCCTGGTAGCGATGCCCTTTGTTCCTAGTAGCTTCTTGCTACTAGTAGTACTGCCAGGAGCTACTACATAGTAGCTTGCTACTAGTAGCAAGCCTTGTCATGAATTCACCAGGAGAGTGATGGCTTGCTCTTCCAAATCGCCACGCGCCGCGTCATCGACGAGATCGACCGCTTCCCCGTCTCGTGCCGCGGCATGGGGATCTGGTCGGGCGGAGAAACACCAGAACCCAGACACGACCCATGGGACTGCCAGTCCGGACTGCCGATCAGTTGGGGTGGTTTGGGGGGATCAATGGGGCGGCAGTCCTATGGCAGTCCCATGGAGTGTATGGGTTTGGCAAACACCGTAGTACGCAGGTGTTTTCGTGAACCCGAAAATGTGAGAGTGAGCGAGAGTGCGTGGGCATTTGGCCAACGGTTTTCTTTTTTGGCCAACGGTTTCCACCAGTGGAGGTCAGTCCCTACAAATTGGCCACACTGAGTCGCGGAGTCGACCTGTTTGTGCCATGTGCCATGTGCTGATCTAAGTCGGGTCCAGGTATTCCAAGAGAGGTTAAGTGACCGTAAATAGGACCATGGATAGATAATAAGTTGCGGGTTCTTCAACCTCCGTTGGTTCCTGTCTCACTGACTCTTGTCGTGGCTTGGCATCATGGCCACTGACTTGGAAGTTCCCACCGGAGTGCCTGAGCGGTTCGTTTTCGTTTGGACCAACCAGTGACGAGGGATGCCCCGGTACCACCCATGGTACGTTTGTCATGCTCATGTCTCTAGAACAACTAGTGACCAGGATGCCCAGGTACCACCCATGGTGCCGAGAGAAGACGATGCAGGTGTGTGTGTGATCTTGCATGTAAAGGAGAATAATGTCGACTCTTGATTAATAACCCCCCATATATATGAAGAGGACTTCCAATTCAATTGGAAGGGTTTATTCATCAAGAGTCTACAGTAGAAGGAACCAATAGGAACCACATCATGTTTGAGAAGCTGATTGGATACACTTCGATGTAGGCGCCTCCTGAGGGGTCCAGTCGGAGTCGTACCTTCTGAGAAGGCCTGTGAATTCGTTCGGAACCAGTCTTTGGTCTGTGGAACTTGCTGAATTCGCCTGCCGTGATAGATCTCGATCCATTACGCCTATAACTATAGTTGATAATTGATCATACGCGATCATCTAACAGTTTCGTTTGGCCCGGCTAACTGAACATTCCTTGAGATCACCATTCACCGTTTGTTTTTTCTTTTAATACCATCCGTTCGCCCTCTCCAAGGCGGTTTTTCCTCAGATTCTCAGCAGTGTGGGATGGTCACAAAACGGTCCTGATACGTTCCATCCCAAACTATGTGGCGACGTCGAGGACGGCTCGTCACACCTGCCGTCTTTGAACCTCAACTACCAATGAACCAATCTTGCTTTTTGTATCAATGTGTAACGATGCAATGTTTGTGGCCTTGACTTGGAGCTTGGCTTAAGACTTTCGAAGCTTTAGAACCTCAACTATGGAGGTGACGGCTTTGTCCGGCCAGACAGTCGCTGAGCTTGATGAGGACGAAGTGCATTGCATGGTGGAAAGTGGGAAGACTGTTCGGGACTTAAAGCGACGTCTTTCAGCTCGGGTTGAGTACTCAAGGTTTGAGCAAAGACTCATGAGTGGCGAAATTGGCGAATTGCAGGATGACATGCATTTGAGACCACTGCCAAGTGTACAACTGGTAATCCTGCCAAGTGTACAACTGCGCATGATGAGACGAGGACGAACTCATCCAGTACTGCCGGGAGAATCGCGTGGGTGATGTTGAAAGACTGCTTCAAAGACCACAGCACCCAAGCGGAAGGGGCTTGATTGTTGCCGTGGTGGAACGGCCACTTAGAAGTTGTCCGATTGTTGCTGGAGGCTGGACCTGCAGCAACGACAAATCGGGCAGCAGATTCGTTATTCGCCTTGTTTACTGCAGCCGAGGAAGGCCACTTGGAAGTTGTGCGATTGTTGCTCGAGGCTGGAGCAGACAAAGATGGAGCGACCAGAAATGGGGAAACAACCTTGTTCATTGCAGCCCGGGTCGGCCACTTGGAAATTGTGCAATTGTTGCTTGAGGCTGGGGCTAACAAAGAAGCAGCAATACGAGACGGAAGAACTGCTTTGTTTGTGGCAACCCACAACCGCCACTTGGAAGTTGTGCGATTGTTGCTTGAGGCTGGTGCTGCCAAAGATGCAGTAAGGACAGATGGGGTAACACCTTTGTTTGTGGCAGTCCAGACCGGCCACTTGGAAGTTGTGCGATTGTTGCTTGAGGCTGGTGCTGCCAAAGACACAGCAAGGACAGATGGAGCAACCCCGTTGTTTATGGCAGCCCACAATGGCCACTTGGAAGTGTTGCAATTGTTGCTTGAGACTGGAGCTGCCAAAGATGCAGCAAGGACAGATGGAGCAACCCCGTTGTTTATGGCAGCCCAGAGTGGCCACTTGGAAGTGTTGCGATTGTTGCTTGAGAATGGAGCTGACAAAGATGCTGCCACGACACATGGGGCAACGGCTTTGTTTATGGCAGCCCACAACGGCCACTTGGCAGTTGTGCGATGGTTGCTTGCGGCTGGAGCTGACAAAGATGCAGCAAGGACAGATGGGGCAACGGCTTTGTTTATGGCAGCCCAGAACAACCACTTGGAAGTTGTTGAATTGCTGCTTGCGGCTGGAGCTGACAAAGATGCAGCAAGGACAGATGGGGCAACGGCTTTGTTTATGGCAGCCCACAACGGCCACTTGGAAGTTGTGCGATTGTTGCTTGCACCTGGAGCTGACAAAGATGCAGCCACGGCAGATGGGACAACGGCTGTGTTTATGGCAGCCCAGAACGGCCACTTAGAAGTTGTGCACTTGTTACTCGAGGCTGGAGCTGAGAAAGATGTAGCAATGACAAAAAGCATACAGAAGCTTGAACCTTGTGTATACCGTAGATGTACACTAAATTCAAGGCCGTGTCAGCATGGGCCCAACTGATCGTTCGATACAATACAATGATGACAATGACAATATTGAAATATAGTAAATGTTATTAGATATTAAGAGTAAAGAAGGGAACAATACTGGTAATTGTTGGGGTGATCATGACCTTGTTCTCCCTGTTTGCCTCCAAGTATATATGTCCTCCTCTATCTCCATATCCTCGTGCTCTCAACAACTTTGCTTTGTCAAGGCTCCTGGCGGATATCATTTACACCCACCATGAGATCGGCATCAAGAACGAGCGCCTTTTCCGAGCAGCTCGGACCCAAAACGGCTTGAACTTGAACCACGCGGCGGCACGCGGCTGGTGGTATGGAAGGTCCCCCATGACGCCGGCGCGACTCGGTGGTTGGATCCCAAAGACATCCAGTATCCACCAGCACCTTCCGCTTGGGGTCACTTGGTTGGAAGCTCCCACGCTACTTACATTTGCATTTTGGGCATCCAATGGTCCAGGATGGTCCAGGTATAGTAGCTCTAGTGGAGGTCTTCTTCCCTTCGTCTAGTGGAGGTTTGGGTTTGTTGGAGGTCATTCATAAAGTCATTCAGCCACCTATTTGGGGGGGGCAGTAGCTTAGCCTTTTTTGTAGCTCCATGTTCAGAAAAGGTTCTGAAGAGAAACACTCTTACTATGGGTTTGTTTTTAATGAGCCCCAACATGCTGTGCCCTCGTCCACCACCAGGTGATTTGTCCAAAGATCGTCTCCAAACAGAATGAGATTCGTGAGGATCAGATGGCCAAGTGTATCAAGGCCTTGGAGGGAAGGGTGTGGACTGTGGGTCAAAACATCTCAAAGCCCAGGATTCCCAGTGGTTCACCTATCCAGGAGGTACATGGTGGACCAGCTCCGGGTCCAAAATGGACCATGTCAAGGGGTGCCTTGTTGAGGTCGGGGCGTAACGCGGAAGCCATGCAAAACCTCTGACTTCCGAACGCTGACCGAGGTTGCAACCTGAGGAAAGTGGATTTGACATGTTCTTTAGGCAGTTTCATGTTTGTTTTTGATTTTGTTTGATAGGTTTACGGTTTATGTAATTAGGTGCCTTTAGTAGTATACGTAATTGTAATGGTACATAGATTTTGACGGATGTTTAGTTCGTTTCGTGGAGATGCGTTTAGATTTGGGGGCCCTAAGACTTCCTTCCTCTACGCAGTTTACTGCCATGCTTACATCAGGGTGTGACTTTTACCTACTCACGCTTGGGCTTAGGGCTGTGCTTCCACGGACAGCCAAATGAACGGTTCCCACCCCATAAGATTTGTATTGAAGAACAAAGTTTACACTTCCCAAGGCAACAATAATGTCAAGTGGTCTTGTCATGTCTTGTCTACACAAGCAATATTGTCCGCTACATATACGATATTCACATCAGAGCATAAGCGCTAAAAAGCATCAGTTTCAGCATTGTATTTCTGATATGCGCAGATCATGCACCTAATCATTTGTCAGGTCTGTTGTGATCAAACTCATATCAAACCCTTTAAAGTTCATGTTTGAGGATTTTGTTTTGGCGTGATTACACATTCTGGATGGATGAACATTTGTCTCGGCTGAGCCGAGCGGCTTGGAGTTGATGGCTGTCACTTCTTCGCTGGGGGAATGTCCACAGAAAGCTGGATTGACTCGGCACCTTTGTTGCTTGGTATATAGTGATTCAACCTGATACAAGTGAGATGCCAACCATGTCAGACTGGAGACTTCATCAAGGGAAACAGTCCTGTCCTTAGCCAGATCAAAGAATCCTGTCCTTTCACTTGTTCAGTAGAAAAGACTGTCTGAAGAACCAACCCGCTTTCCCACTGGCATCTCTTTAACTTAGAGTGCCCCCCTCCTTGACTCTTGGTGGGAACTGTCGAGGCCTATGCGCGCTTTATGATCCCACTGAAGGAAGAAGCTCAAGGATTCAGGAGCTTTCGGAGAGCTTTGGAGATTGGTCAATCCCCATCCTTGGAAGGCCTTAAATTTGAGGGCCGGCTGATGTTGTCGCACAGGGTGCTGAGACAGCCTGCTGTATTGTTGGGAATCAGGTCAACTTGGTGTTGGTTTCTGGCAAAATGCTGGAGGAGCCCGAAAAAGAAGGAAAACTCCAATGAGGGCGGACCCCTGACCCCTTGGAGTCTTGGGTACTTATATATATTTTAAAGAATGTTATTCGTGATCACTTCATGCTCACAAGAGTATGATCGTATCATCATGAAGCTAAGGGTATAGCACTCCAAACATCCTCGGGATCTCCATCGGGAGCACTTTTCACCGGAATCCCTGGTTGTCATCATACACATCCCATGAGACCTCAGTCAGGACGACATTTGTTCCGGTGAATGAAAACAACTTGTACGACTTATAGGGTTCGCGAAAGCGACAAGACTCCCAACAGGAAGTCCATGGTTTCAGGGACCAACATAGTTCTCTCTGTTAGTTCTCCCTAGATGATCCTGCTTTTATAACTGAGAGTCCGGTTATGACTCATAGTATGACTCGTTTTTACGCCCATGGTAGTGGTGGATTAGTACCATGTGACGTACAATCTGTGACACCCTGTCATGGGCCGCTCGGTCGCCGCCTCGACAGGACCATGGCGGTGGTCCAAAAGGGCGACTTCCTCAGGCCATGCGCGGCTTCCGAGGGTCGACCGTACCTGGTCGCGCAACGGTCGCGCAAGTCGCCGCCCACACCGCGGAGTCCGTGGCGGTTCGGAGCTTTGAAAAGGTTTCAGAGGTGTTCACTTTAGAGCTCCGAATTCAGAGAAGGGGGATGTTGGGTTTGTTTGAGGGATATGGGTTTGATGAATCAGATGTTGGATGGAGATCTAGAAACCATCCGTTTTGTTGTTAGGGGTGTGTTGATGAATCCAATTGAATCCATAATTAACATGATTTGGGGTCAAGGAACATGTTGGTTGAACTCTTGTTTTGATCAAGAAACATCAAAGAAGATGCTGAAGTTCCTGCGATGCCAGGCCTTCGCTCTGACAGCATGTGAGAACTTTGTACATCTCAGGTGTTTGTGTGTCTTTGTGTTCTATGAATTCGTCACACCGCAGCGCTGGAAGATGATCCCGTGGATGTCCGTCTTGCCAGGCCTTCCGATAAGCCCAAACCGCAGGGCAAGAAGACCTACGACAAGCCCCAGGTGCGCAGAAGACAGGGGTCTTGGCAATGGGTTGGTTGCGACAGGTCATGTGACCCCACCATACATAGGATATACATAGGCAGCGATACTGAGCGGATCCCCATCGGATGCCCTGAAAATGTGTGAACAGTATCGGGAGACCCCCATTGTAGCTTATCCTAGTTCTTAATCATAGAATGAATCCCACTTTCAAAACGCGATTTGTTCCGGCGCAAGGCAGGTCCGTTTTGTTGCAGGTTTGTGGGGATGCTCCTGTGCAAGGCAGAGCATGCACAGCTAGGGTGTGTCACGACAAGTTGCCATGCTCAAACTACCACAGTGTTGCTTGTTCATACCAACACCATCCAAAAACCGTGAGTTTTGACTATAATTGGAGTCTGTTCTATTGCCTGTATCAGTCGGTAAGAAAAACATATCACATCATATCACTATTTTAGGGAAAGGACTTTACTAACCATCATAATCAATTGTTTTGAGCGGAATCTTTGGGTGTTTCTCTAGAAAGGGGACACCAATGTTCTTGACCAACAACACTGAAGACAGCAAATTATGATTTCCTTGCGCAAGAGTCTCACAGATTGCTTTGTCCTGGGCGACATGATGTTTGGTCTTGCAGTCAAGAAAAAGTGAGCAAGAAGGGGCTGAAACGGACTGCAATGGAAGCCGCAGATCGAGGTTTGGAACATGTGCATTTCTGGAAACTTTGAACTTTAAAGAAACACACTCTGACTTTATCATAGATGGAAGTAGCACCCAGTTCAACTGACATGGGGGATACGTGTATCGACCACCCATTTGATCATGTCACCAGACCTTTGACAGTACCATCGCAGAAATGAGATTTGCCTGCCTTCTATAGGCACGTTTGACCTGACCTTGTGTCTTTTCAATTTGTGTCTGGTGGTTTGCACAGGGAGACCCAAGAGCGGCATGAAAACACCCACAAGACTTGGGTAGCTGCGTGGAATCCATGGCAAGAGTGGTTTCATTTTGACGATCATGTTTGATGGCTTGGCTTCACAGGCGCTGTATCCTGAGCCAATGCTACATGCAAAGCACTGACGCGCTAGATCGGCAGGATGCCTGCGGATTTGAAGGTGTTTATGAAGTTCTCGTCATATGTGACACCTACCCCCCCAAAAGTGAAAATCAGCAACACCTTCTCTGAGGATTGGTTTCACCACTAAAAGCAAAGAAGTGAAAAGGTTCACCCTTATTGTGCAGAGAAACTGAGGGATTCAGGAATTCAGGAATGGCAAAGAGTTAGGAGACGTTCTTCTTCCGGTGGAACAAAACAACCTGGAACACAATGCCAGGCCGTGAAAGCATGGCGTGAGTTGTCATTTACTGATCCAAATGCTTTAGGTCAGCAAGGTCTTACTTGAAGCAATTGGTGCGCACGCGCACACCCACCCGCACACACACACACACGTACACCTGGCGGGCCCTGGCCATCCAAATTTGGAAGGACTGCGGTTAAAGAACATCAAGGTGGAGGCTGTGATCATCAGCTCGTTTGATCGACTTTGTTCGATGATGAACAGGAGATTTATTCAGTGTATGTCATATACAGTATAAAAGTTTATGTCATATTCATACTCCGAGCACCGTTCGCCGCATCCAGATCTGCTTGTTGATCACCTTCAGAGGCCGCATCCATTTGCATCCGGCGGGCTAAACCTTCGAAGCCACGGGAGCAGAATCTGCGCCTGCGAGAACGGGAGAAAAGGTGTTTGCTGCTTTCGGTGGAAACGGGAGCCAGGCTTCCACCTATGATCATATTTTTGAAAGCGTGATGGCTGTAATATAGATAATTATTAATATATATATATATCAAGTATGGGCTAGGCCTATGAGTCATTTGTTGGATCTGTCTTTGGCATTGCAGATTTCGTTCTAGGCGACCACGCAAATGAGCCTAATTAAAGTTTGCAGGCTTTGATGGCACCGTTTTTTTTTTGCTGATGAATTTTTGCCTATGGGTGAATCCTCTTCTGGGGAAGTTTCTGGGGAATCCACCCAGAAAGCAAAACCCTTATAGATCACCCTTATCGGGTGAATCCTTAAGCAAATCCAAGTCGTTGTACACCACTGACCTGGTGGCCACGACGCCCAGAAATCCTTCAGAACGAGGCGGGGTGCAGTGCGCCAAAGTAACCCAGGCAGCTCAAGACAGATGGGAAGCCTGCAAACGACCATATATAGAACCAAAGGAATCTAGGTACAGTGCTTTCAAGTCATTGATATTCACAGTTGCCCCATGAGTTCTCATGGTTTATAGCAAAAGTGCCTTGGAACAAAGTTGTTCAATGTAGACTGTAGACTGTGTATGATGCAAGCCTGTGTAAAGCATTTCTATATGGGGTATCATCAATCAACTGTCTAGATTGGACTCGTGAATCATTAATGAGCTGCAGCTTGTTAAGTCAGCTGGTGAACAAATGAGCTACTTCCATCCGTTTCATTCATTATTGTCTGAAAATGGATGGAATTTGGAAGGCAGGTCTCTGCACGTCTCCCACACAGGGCCGCGGCCCGTCCCTGTCCCTGTCGCGACCGATGGCGGTGAAGGAGGCACCCGTCCTGGGGCTCTTTGCCACGGATCGCTTGGGGGTGGTTTCTGAGAGAACAAGCAGCATGAGTGTGCTTGTGTTTTTTTTCTAGATAATATGTATATGATATGTCGATGTTTTTTCCCTGAAAGGATTCTTGTTTTCCTCATCCCACGGGACTGTTGTTTCTTGACGTTTGTTTGAGCTCAGTTACTCGTAGCTTGGTTTTCCTTCTTTGATGGGTAGAACTGTTGTGCAATCCTGTTTCCCCGGCCCCTGCAGTTGCAAGTTCCAAAGACTTGTAGGTTCTTGTAAAACTAGCCTCAGGTTGGTCTTGAAGTACAGTATATAGTTCAAGGATGGCATGTTGTTTCCATCGGAGAAATCGAGTTGAATGGTTTGATGGACAATCAATCGGACAAAGCAAATTGTTGTGACTGCTTGTTTGCTGAACTGAAGCACCCAGCATCAGTTATAGCATCAACATGTCACTTGTTTGTTCTAGGTGAAGCCAGGTTTGAAATAATATCAGGGCTAGTCATCTTAGATTCGCGGAGAAAAGGTGATGGTTCAATTCCCATGGGTGAATCCCCCTCCATGAGAAATGATTGTAATGTTGTCCCGGTTCCTGGACAGTAAAGTAAGCCTCCTGTGATAGCGATGAACTCCCGCCCTGGTTGTCAGGTTGGCAGTTGTTCCGGCTCTTTGAATACCATATGTATCAGATCAAGCCCTAGCCACTCAAGCTTGGTCGTTTCGCCCCGACATTTTATCTAGCCCACATTTCATCACATGTCAATACAGTTTTCTTTAGAATTGTTTCAATGTTGTATATTAATGTTTCAATACACTCTCATGGCAATACGTCGACACCCCTCTTTTTCAGTACCGCCACCGCTCGACCCGACGCTTCACCGTCGCGCAGGCGCCGGAGCGAACGCAGAAGGGTCAACGTTGGCTAAGCCGGAGCGAACTGGCCGAGCTGATCCAAACCCTCAGGTTGGGGTTATATAAAGGAAGAAGAGCGAAACACTTGGGGATGCCAGGGACACCGGGATTGGAAAAGAAACGAGGAGGGATCCTGGGCTGAAGTTCTTTTTGGGGATCTGGATTCATGGAAGTAAACATGTTGTGAAACATGTGTTGGAAAATTTGTTTGGGGAGAATCAAATAAGACACTAAGACAACTTTTTTGTTTTATGAGACCATTAGGATCAAAATCATTGTTGAACTGAGGGGGAGGGGGTCAAGTTGGACACTTTGTTGGGGGGTGATGTATGTGGGTTACTCTCATCCCTGCTGGGAGTAGAAGTCCCAAGTAGATGCGGCAGATGGCCAAGTAGTTGGATTCTTCGAGACCTTTTGAGACTTCATGAAACATGAATTCAAACTATTCAGACCATGGTGATGCCAGCCTGGAAGTACCTGGAATATTCACATCGCCGCCCAACACTTGGAACAAATAGCAAACATAAGTAACATAAATAAATACTTCAGCTCAAAAAAGTTTTTTTAGGTTTTTTTTTTTCCGGCTAACTTTCGTGGCTGCGAACAAACACGGCAGATCGAGTCCCACTCGCCCCTGAAACCAGGAAGGCGGTGCCGCAGTACTATCCGGCAGCGCGGAAGGCGGAGGACGCGCAGGCGGCCGTTGGGGATGGGCGTTTGGTCGGATGTGGATGAGAGATGAATTCGAAGTATCTCAGGCGCAGCTGCTATAATGGAGGAGGGAGGGCTTCGAAGGGGAAGACTATGGCAAGACTGCGAAGTTTGGACACGGCCAGGCCTTTGTGCGGCGTCCCATGGTTTCACTGTGCATGTTGGATCCACCGGGATGTACCGGGCGAAGGCAGTGTGAAACACCCGCCGCTGTTCGGCAAAGAGAGTTCTGAGGCGGGAAAATAACAACCTGACGATACCAATACCAAGTTCCTGTTTAGCGACATACCCTCTCAACAAGGATATTTGGAGACACTTGCATGTAGGCGCCAGAGTCCAGTTGTATTTTGAGAAGGTCTTAGTGGATCCTGATGGCAGACATGGATCCATCCAAACCGTGACCCCCTTCACGCCCCGATTCTCGCTCCGATGGAAGACCGGACCGGCCAAGCACTGCGTGATCTCTTCGCAGGATCGCGCGCGCGCCCAGTGCGTGGTCTTGGGCCGCGACGTCTTTCACCTGCAGTCCGGTCTTCATGATCAGAAGGACCCTGGGGGGCGCGTGACATCACGGGACCTCGGAGCTGAAGAAAAGGGCTCCTGTCGGTCGTGCTGTTGGGGTCGCGTTGTGGGTCCGATGTTCGGATGGGTTCAGCAGAAAGACGACGGAGATACGGGATTGACGAAGGTGAAGAAAGGCCCGAAGCAATGTACGGGATTTACTGATGGGTGTAGGGTGACTTTAGTCTTCAGGAAGTTTTGATGTTGAAGTTATTTCCAATTTGGGGATGGTTTCTCAAGATTTTAAGATACCCAGAGCTTTCAACTACTTTGGTATCATTGCCAACCCTAGCATCTGAGAAGACTCAAAGTTAAGATGTCATAATTGCGTTCAACAACCAGTAGCTACGCAATGCAATCATCTCGATCAAGAAGACTTGGTAGCGAAATATGTACGCTCCTTACCCTGGTTAAACTCGGTGTGCATTTGCGCCGGAGTTTACTTTAGTAGTTGAAGATGAGGGTATACATGCTTCAGTTATTGTACATTTAAACAACGAATTGCTAGGGGACAGCAGCAACAGCCTTGGTTGGGGATCTCCAGCTTCAGGAGAATCGGGAGCTCTTAAGGCATGTGGAAGGTGGCTTGGCGCAAAAACGCCGGCGACCAACGGTGGTGGTTCCCGTCCAGGACGTGAGCCGGCAGAGGTCGATGTCAGCGAAGCCCTCTGAAGAAGCTTTATAGTTAAAGCCTAGATTCCTTGACATTGATATGGTGCCACTTTCATTTTGCCTTCCAACCTGCTTGGTCCTCAAACGGTCTTCTTCTCCAACCACGAAACCATGTTTCATCAACACTGCGATAGCGAATCTCACACCGGTCGATCGCTGATGGATCGGGTCCTCCAGTCGGTGGACCGCTCGGCAATTTCGTCCCAGGTTGGAAGGACCTCGGAGGCCCCAAGGCCCTGGAGGCGCCCTCGCCAGCCTCGCCGCCGGCCTCGCCGCCGGCCTTGCCGCCGAAGACGCCCCAGACGCCCAAGACGTCCGCGAGTCCGGCGGGGCCGGCGTTCTCGCCGCCGAAGACAGCGGAGAAGCGTCGCTTGGAGGGGTTGATGGGAAGGGAGGGAGGGTGAAACTGTGGGTTGCAGGGATAGAGGGAAGTCCTGGGGTGGCTTCAGTGTAGGCCCGTAGTACCGTAGGCCCCCCAAAGATGGACACAGCACATTCCACAGCTGATGAATCTTGAAATAGATCTGAAAAAGGGGCCTTTGAAAATAAATCAAATGCCTTTCTTCTGGAAAGGCCTGTAGGTGGACACTCCTGGTTTTTACTGTCATCATTCATGTCACAGAGATCTGGGAACACGGTTCAGCTGCTCCGGTCCCTGTTTTTTGCAAGGCGTATTAAGGCCTGTTTGGATAATATTTTGCCCCCACAATCCTCCACTTCTGATTGGCCAAAAGGCCTTCAACGTATTTTAATCACGCCGCTTGGCATTCACTGCAAGGGCCATGGGGGAGATCTAGAGGCAATCTGACACCAAAAGTTCATTTTTGGTGTTTCTTGGCAAGAACACAACTCTGGTTTTATTTCCACTCTGGGAGAACATACTATGGGTTTTGTTTTCAGAGTTTGTGTTTGTGTTTTTTTTCTCCTGCCTTCTGGGCATTTGTTTCCTTGCTTGACCTACCTGGAAGGTCAAGCTACATCGTGTTGGTGCTCCAGGTTTTACCCACTCCTAAATTGATCCATAAAGCTTCAAAAACTCAATCTTTTGGCCACAAGGGCTTGCGCAGACTTTAAAGACACGGTCCTTGACGTGACTGAGCAACGTGTGGATTTATTTGGGAACAACCTTGGGATCCCTGAGCTGTGAAAGATGGGGGATGTTGGTCATGATTGTCTACTGTGATTAATGGGCTACTCACAAAAGTGGACCTCTTGGAGAGAAGATGGGACATATTCTGACCGAAGACGAATTGCCAGGAGTGGACCTCTGTCGGGGTGGCGACCTTTGACCTTTTTCAGTGAGATCTTGTGGGCGCCTCTATCCTCCATGAGCACCCCTTGGAACTGGTGTGTTCGCTGGCAAGGCTCATAGATTGTGTTTGACCTGTGATTTGCCAAGGCCAGAAGCGCAAGGCCAAGGCGCGTCGGCGCTGCATACACAACAGCCAGTCGCGGCACAGTACGACTGGCGTGTCATTCATTGTGGTTTTCTTTGTCTTGACATGTCGCATGTGTGGGTCACCGACTTTTGTGGTGCTTTTGTGGTTGGTCACCGCAGTTTTTGGCAGTCTTTGGGCAACATTCAATCAGAAAGAGTTAACATAATTATTCGTGGCATTTGCAGGCTGCATTGGCTATCCTTTGACACCCCCCAGATCATCCATGTATGGAATAGTTATATGTATACATATTAGACCTACATTAGGGTCAGACATGGGGTTGCTGTATGTAATTACTCCACACGTGCCTGGTTTGGGATTGGAGCCGGTGAACAGGAAGAGGACCCTGCTGCAAAGAAGCTGGAGTCTCAGTTCGAGAGGAGCTTCGTCACAGAAAGGAGTCCGAATAATTGGGTGTGTCACCCATTCCTTGCTACATAGTGTTATCTCGTGTTTTCATGTGTTTTCTGTGTGTAATACGTTGCGGTTGCTGGACTCTTGCCTCCTTTCAGTGCTTGCTCTATGTGTTCGGTGTTTCGAGCATGACACCTACGACGTTTCGCACGCCAGTGGATGTACCTTCGAGAGTTTTTAGTCGTGGATGTACCTCTTCAATCCTGTTCATAAGTAGCAGATCGTCCCTCTCTCCAAAGGGCTTTGAAGAAAGTCGATGCATGCTTGAGCAGCTCTGCTTCAGAACCAATAGCAGCGAATAGCAGGAGGGTCTCAGGAGGGTCGGTTTGACTGTGGATGCTCCAAGCACTTTGCATACTCTACCAGCACCGGCGAAAAACGAAGCGCCTTTTGTTCTGCCACTTGGGTTAGTCACCCGGAAGGCCGGCTCGCCGAGTCAGCACCGAATTTGAAGATACCGAGTCAGACCTTCCCAAGAGGTCAACACGTGACGAATGTGAAGACCCGATGATGGGATACAACAACCCCCCCACAAAAAAAGGAAATAGGCTTGTCATGTCAGTCATGTCCCTCAAATCATGTAGGTACACCAAATCAATGGGAAGATATGTTCAGAAGGAACCCCAAAGGCTCGATCTGAATCGCGAGGAGAAAACACGAAGACTAAATCTCTTCATGAGGAGGAACCATATAGGATGAGGGGTTTGTGAAATTTCAGAATTAAAGGGAGTGAAGGTGGGGAATTCATCAGGAGATATACAGGCCAAATTGATTGGGAGGTCCTGGATACACTTTTGGATCAAAAAGGCTGTCCATGACAAATTGTTTGCCAAATTAATAGCAGGGTTACTTCATCGGGTGTTGACGTTATCCCAGGTCTCCCTTGAACACCCTGCTAGGAAGGTCCTCTAGAGTTGCTCTCGGTGTGTTCGTCATTGGTGGGTACACCGGGCTGAAGGTCGCCTGTTCTCTCGAACCACCGAACCACATCGAGCCCCGTCAGCATGGCTCGATCTACTCAGAGGTCTATGAGTGTTGGAAGACTCAATGTATCGAAACTCCAGGGGTCGGTGACAAGGAGGCCGACCTCTTGAGTTGGAAATGACCAGGTGAGGTGTTGGGTATGTTTTGCCAGCTGGATGTCGATGCGATGTGACATGAATTCGGGGGTCTTTGGTTTCCATATTTAGGCTCGCAGATTCCCCCTAGCTTTCACAGCACTTGGCATCATCAGGATTACTTTTCAGATTGTTTTTAGACATCGGTCTGGGGGAGGATGGCTGCTGACTAATGCATGTTTCTACACCACCTCTTGTTACTTCCAGTCGTGGGACCGTCAGCACACCACTTTTCAACCAAATGCCAACTGCTTTGCGGATATATAGTATACTGTGTTCATAGAGACATGCCTCAGCTACCATGAACAAGTGCAGTGCTTGAATGCGCTAGGCCCAAAACAAGCCGAAGTGCAGTGCGGTCATTGTCATCGTTTCTAGGCCGAATCCTTATAAGAGGGCACCATTGTTGCAATTGACACGTTTGACGACGAAGCAGAGTGAAGCGAAGACCCGTGCACATCCCTTGTGATCATGCCAGTTAGACTTTATCACCTTGTTTCGCACGGGCTTGGCTACAAGCAGCCTTGGCACAGATCGACCAACATGTCCCATGATGTAACACCGGTGAGGGCTCTGCAAGGTAGCAACTGCACCCGATCGAAGAATAAGCGGGGAAGAACAGATGTAACAGATGTCAGGGCCTCACAGGCCACATTTCTGCCAGGTTACCCAAGCCTACCATCACTGTAGACAGGAGCGGGCTTACCATCATAACCTGCAAGCACATGTTTACAAGCATGACTCACCAGATCAATCTGTCAGTGCGCAAAACCCACCCCAACTCGGCACGAAGAAACTTTGCTTTCAACCACTTGGGAAACTTACAGTTTTCAATGTTGAGGGCCTTTGGTGCACTGATTGAAGCACCGGAAAGGCTGGATGTACAGCATCTATACATACACACGTATAGTGTCGTATAGTTACAATATTGACACCATTCTCAAATGGTCAGGCATGTGACTTGTAGATGGTCGAGTTCATACAATGGATTACAATAGCATTCAAAGGTCATCCCGATTCGGAGGGCACGGAACACAAACGTTTGATCCATACACCACGTGGTTGCTGGTCAAGACCCGTGCTCCCAAGGAACGGCGCGGGGCGTGCACCACCGTGGTTTGTTGTCAGTGTTCTTATGTTTGCGCTCGCAATCCACGCGCCCCGTGCCTTTCAGCGGTTGTGGTAGAAAGCGTACTTTGGATTACTTCGAGTGATGCCCCCATGGCATCAAACTCTGCTGATAACCGACAACCGATGGCTATATATTGCTTCAACATCACCAAGAAAGTGTCTATTTATTATACTGCCAGTATTGGCGCAAGATAAAACTTACCGGCGTGTAATATGGCATTCTATCTTGCATAGAATCTGGCATTCGATTTGGCAAATATGTTGGCATGCTATTTGGCGTATATTCTGGCTTTCTGACGGGCGTATATTTTGGAATTCCATCCGGCAAAATGGCTGACATACTTTAATTCCAACATTCTTTCTGGTTCAAGTCCATGGTGCCCACTGCGATCGAGCGCTCGCGGGTGAGGTCCGGCGGCGCCCACTGCAATCGAGCGATCACGTTGGAGGTCCGTTTGTGTTTATATAGTGCGATCGAGCGGTTGCGATTGAGGTCCGTTTGTGCCAGCTACGTTTTAGCACTCGAGAAGAGGTCCGGCGTTGCCCGCTGTATATGCCCATTGTAATCTAATCTAGCATTTGCGGTTGAGGAGGACTCCCCTACCGAGGCCGAAAAAACAAATGTCAACAGAGGAGATCCTGGGGATTTGGGGTCCAGGGCGGACAGCTTCCAATCCCATAAATTTTTTGGTTGATTGTCCAATTGTGGTTGTTTTCAGGGTTCGCACAAACGTTTCGCATGTTTCTTTTTGACAAAAACACAGAAAAAATTCCCAGTGAAAACATGTGAAAACCCCACTCCTGTGACATGTGGCAACCTTGGCAGTTCATCCCCAAAAAACGTGAGGGTCAATGTTGTTCACATATGTGTGTATCGTTCCCTGTTCGGGACATACCTACCGAAGACCCGGACGGAAACAAACATCGGATTGAAACCATCGCCTGTTGGGCTATCGAAGTTCCTCCCAAATCTCGAACTACATCATATCTAAAACACCAACTTGACGCATTCGACGATTCACTTCTTTTTTGGGGGGTGATTTTTCCGCCTTTTCCGCCAGGTTGGCGGGACCTGGAAAGGTTGGAATAAACAAAGGGATTGGTGCACATCCGTGGTTTGCATTGATGTTTGGTTCGATTCAATCATAAAATGTATAAACCAAGATGAGACGAGGAAAAATAGGTGGGAATTCGGTGTTCACAACGCAAAGTGAGAATCTATACGGTCTTCTGAACACAAGGGGTCAAGGGGTATTCCTTTTCTGGTGACTGCCCATGGTGTTTGGGACAAATTTTTGCAGATGATCCCAGCAATTTGGCAGACACGCTGTAGTTTGAAGGGACCAAACGAAACATGCAGGGATGCACAATTCTGTGATGCTCATGTTACATGGAAAATCTTGCCTTACAGACAGGTGTTTGAGAATCCCCCGATCTTTCTGTACTTCACCGGAGAAACCCTGGAGAGAAGCAGAAACCTCCCATAGAAGCACCTGATGCACCGGACGTTTTAACCAGTCTTCGATGATTTCCAAATGTCAAGCAACCACAGTCGTTGCCCGGGTTAGTTGGTAGTCATTGGCATGCGAACTTGCAAGGATTTGTTTTGGTTTGTAGACTTCTTGTTCTCAACTTATAGTAATATAATTGAAGATATGCTAAAATACGTGTATGTAAATATACTGTATATAATATATATATATACATATCACCCAGAGCTCACATTTATTTTGGCTTGGCTCGATCCAGGAGAAGGAGCGTTGTCAGAAGCTACTGGAGGCTGGAATTACTTTGTCGTGCCTGGATGTACAGGTCAGTCTTGGAAATGTTATGTAAAGTTCTCGACCATAGAACACGGTATAGACATGGTACCATTGAATGTTTCACTGGACCAGAATGAGTGAATTCTGGGCACTGCTGGAGGGTCCAGGCCGAGATGTTCAAGGGAAGTTCATGAATTGTTTTTGTGGGCGGGCGTCATATTATGCGCTTGACGTCCCAACATCCTTAGTTCAAGTCTCACTTAAGTGGGCATAGTTTTTGTCATCAACATCGCAGAGCACATCATGGATGATGTCAAACACAGCTTCCTTTGCACCTTTGCCTTGTATGCTGCACTTGAGTGGACATTTTCTCAGGGCTGGACTCGGGTGTTGCAGCTTCACTGATGACCCGACGATTTCTTTCGTCCCAGCACAAAATCTTAGTCGACTTTTGAGATGCCCAGTTGGGGTGTGTTTCAAAAATCACATGTTTTATGGTTCAATTGTTTTTTAGTTGTTTACAGATATAGTTTTAACTAGTATACATATATATTTCATGTTTACATAGTAACCTTTATGATTTAACTTTAAATTTAATCATTTGAAACTAGGGAGATCTGGAACCAATTGGGTTTTGATGGATATTCCGAACCGACCCCAAGGGTTGTTCCCGCCCTGTGTCGGTCTCACCCAGGGAGTGGCTTCCATCATCCAATGATGGGACACCAAGCCATCCCAGACACCTCATATGGAATGGCTACCTTGACGCTTTTTGCGGCCCCCTTTGCAGGTAAATATTGCAGTCCCATGGAGTGTGTCGAAATTGTAAGTTGGAACTCTTTTGTTGGATCATTTTTGATATTGTCATGTTTAATGTTTCGATTTTTCTTTGGACCCTTGGGCTGCTTTTGGAGGGGCTTCGTTTTCCCGTTTGGTACGCTCCCAATCCCCATCTCCATCGGAACCCGCACGTTCCGAACGCGTAGCACCTGGGCCGTGAAGAAAGACATACCTGCACCGTGCACCTGAGGAAGTCTGACTGGGAAGACCCCCAGTGCTTCGTTGAACGCTCGTGCATCCCTTACCGAACGCACCGCTCCGAGAGTCGGGGTGCACGGAGAGCAACGGGGTCCAGTATTGCCAATGAGATGAAGGAGGTCCGAAGGTGAGCAGGTGCATGTGGATTTGGCTTTGACGGTCCGACATTCTGACTCCACCAGACCCCTTCCTTTGCGCAACCAAGGGTCTGGATTGCTTCGTCAACTTCAGGTTGTTGTGGCTTGACATTTGGGTATAGTCTCGCATGTGTCATTTTGCGGTCGCGGTTGGCGCGGCCAGACATTGAAAGAGAAGGACATTTGCAAGGACTGCTTCTTCAGCAATGAGGGGTCGAGGCCTTAGTTTAGCGAGAAAGGCAGACGTTCAGCTTCAGAAGGCAACAAATTGTTGATGGAAAGTTCATCCTGCATCAAGTCCGTTCTTTTGTTGGAGTCATGTATATAAATGACCTCGAGAAATGGATAATACTCGGTCAACAGATGTAAACAGTCAACATGCACTTCAAAATCGCTTGCCCACGAATGATAGTTATATCATGGAAAGTTTAGACAGGTATCGCCCTGGAATGCAATGTACCTCCTGTTCCCAAGCTGCAACAGATTCTGCAAGTATAAATATGACAATATAATATTCCAAATATTCCCATGTGAAATGAAATATTCCCAGAAAGAAACCATATGTTTCACCCCAAAACTATGTTTCCCGTAAACCCTGTTCTGGTAAATAGGATCTGCCCAGAGATGTTCACAAAGACACTGTGCTGAGAAAAGAGCGCCCCGTTCACTGCAGAAGCAGAGACACGTGTTTTCTTTCTCTGCATCAGTTGTCCTCCAAGATTTCAACTCCACCAAAAAACCCTCCAGGATATCAACAGAGGCCTGGGTTTCTTTCCCAAGATCCATCAGGAAACCAACATTTCCAGAGCCATTGGTTCGGACCATCAGGGCCTTCCTATGGCGGTTATGCCCACAGAACGGGTGGTACGCAGCTGGAAATCGAGCATATTATATAAGCGGTTTCCAGTGTCCAAGAAGACCTTGTCGACAACCCTAAGGGCCCTTGAAGAGTAGAGGAGCATAGAGGATCTTGAAGAGTAGAGGAGCATAGAGGATCATTTTTCAAGTAAGAGGTGATATTTGGGTTTCTGAAAGAGAAGAGTTCCATGACTTTGATTGCTTGAAGGTGTTTTCCAGATCTTGAAACCGACCTCTCACCAACCTCAATACCTCCCACGGTCGCACGGTCGCACATGTCACCGGGTCACACCTCCGCCGGCGACAACGTAGAACGACACGACCGCGCCGCGCCGCGGATGGCATTTCTCAGCCCTTGGGTGATGTGGTGAGTCGAGCTCCGCGTGGTGTTCCGCGGGCTCGGGGGCTTCGTCCCTCGGTGGGCTCGGTGCTCGCGGATTTTCTTGGAAGAGGAGGTGTGTTGGGTGCAGAATCAGACACCAAGATTTGATAGAAGTTCGCTTACAGAAACGCACAATTTGACGACTGAACTCCTCAAGGACCACAGTTTGCGACCCATTTTGAGGCATTCATGATTCATGTGCTAAGAAGTTGATTGAAGCTGTAACTTGGCTTTTGACCCCTGGCATCCTAAGATGTCCATCAAATCGGTCTACCGTGAAGCCTAGAAGCTGCACTTGACTTCGGCACGATGGGCTGCAGTGGCAGCAAGCCAGTGCAGAAGGCCGGAGCGGCGGCCGTGTGTTGCTCGACTCGGAGTGCGAGTGGCAAGAAGCAGACCTTGAACAGATGTGTTCAAACCAATGACCCAGAGATGTTAGGCCTCTATGTATTTCTGCATAACTTATTTCTTGCTCCAAAGGGAGCAACAAGATAGCAACAAGAACCGAAGGATACATAATATAGATATATATTGCATATTATATTATATATATATATATTGGGTTTGTCCTATTACAGTCAGTCAACAATGATCACTATGTTTGCACAAGGCCTTTACTAATGATCATTATCCACTGCTACTGGTAATAGGATAGATCCAACATATATATATATATACATACTGAGCTTGAGATGGTGTCGAATCATCAATCATGTGCACAAGCAGAAACATGTCGACGGTCGACGGTCGACGTCCTTTCCATGATCTTCTCAGAGCTCCGCCTGGACGACCGAGACAACCCCAGAGCTCCGCCTGGACGACGGAATCGAAACAGGAAGTGGAAGCTCCAAGTCGGCCGGAGGAGACCTGCAACAGCGAGGGCCATGGAGAAACATTCACTTTGTAAAAAATATAAAAAAACAAAACGAGACTTGTAGGGGTGGACCGGACATCCACTGAGACTAAGAGCTCACTCGGTAATTGAGATCGTTGTTGCGCAATCACTCAATCTGCTCAAGAATTGGTATCCAGTCAACCACTTTGTGCCAACCACACTAGCAGTGGGGATGTCTCTTTGACACCAGTCTACCTGCAGAGTCTGTGGGTCCTTTCTTTTTAGCTTTCCGGATCCGCTGGACAGTCCCTACTGTAGAGCATCATGCCGGCGCTGGCAGCTGGTTCAAGCACTCGGCCTCCACATCAATCTACAACAAAGCTTCAATGGTTGATTGGATGCAATAGGTCATCAATCGTCATCAATGGTCTTCACGTCCTGCCTCTGCCTCAGCAAGATCCCTGCACCTGGTGTTGCTTAGGGTGATGTTGGTGTCCCATATTTTTCCTATGAGTGAATCTCCTTCCTTGGAATCAGTTTTTTCAGTCGGTCCCTGAAGCACATCCAAGACGATACGCAAAATGTATATCGATCTATAGAAGGCTCGCTGAATCTTCCCAAACGCCTCATGAGGCCACCGTGCGGGAAGCCTCTCCGATCCATCCGAGAGCTATTCCAGATGGTTCATGGATGCAAATAGAAGGCCTACTTTCACCACCAAAAACACCACATGTACGGCATGTACGGATTTCGTGGTTTTCTCAGGTTGACCCGAAATCCCGAAATGGCACGGGGACGGACCTGGTTCCCTTCCACTCTTTGCATTGGAGAAGGGCCCCGCGATTCTTAGAGTTGGCAAGGAGGTAATCCAGGTAGGCACTGAATGGCACTGATCCTGTAGGGCTCCTGGCCCATATCCTCAGGTGGTTAGACCCCCCTGGCACCCACCCTAACCATCTTCGAAAAGGAGGTAGGCCAGGAGCCCTGATGCATTTGCCTGTCCGAAGCTTTTTCGTCTGGGGAAGCCCAGGAGCCTCGGACGCTCCTGAGCCGCCGCAGCCGGACGGCGATGATGAAGGTCTGGGCGGGTGTTCTTCTCCGGTCCCATCCCCAAAGACTCCATAGGACTGGAATATTACATGACCCAAAAATAGATAGACACGTACTTGAAAAGTAAAAAACAACTTTCATAATGTATTGGAAACCATTTCTATCTAGCCCTATGGGGTAGTTGAAGTCGAGGTCGATGTATGTAAATATTCCTATATATAGATCATAATTCTGGAGCGTATGGGATCCAAAGGTGGTCCAAGAGGAAGCCAACACAACGAACCACCTGCGTCATCTGCGGGTTTCTTCTTTGGTGGGTCTTATACAAGCTGTTTGAGCACTGTGAATCAGCCACCTTCAAATGCAGTGAAGCAACCCTGTGAGGCAGCTTGACATCGGAATGTGTTCTATTTTATAGCAACCCTGTGAGGAGTGGTGGACACGTGAAGATGAGGGAGAAGGGCTTAAGGGGGGAATGTCTATAGGGTCGACGATTAGACCGTCAGATGTGGTTTCGCACCCGAAAGCCAAGCCGGAGCACGCGTGACCTGCCGAGTCAAGGGTGCCAGAGTTTCTGAACTTTCTGAACAGACGAAGCTTGAGATTTCTCCAGGGTCACCCATACCAAATTATGTCTATAAAATCTCTATATAGATATCTCTAGCGACACCCCCCTGGAAAGCTAATAGGTATCCAGCACCAACATACACAAGAGCCAGCCAAGTACATCTATTCTTGTTTTTTAATGTAGGTCATGTATGTAGGCATCTTACGACACCACGAGTCTTAATATCAGAAGAATTCAGGTTCATTCAGAGCATGTAAGCATTCTGTTGGATGCTCAAGCCCCTTCTGTTTGCCTCATGCTTTCAACGAAAACGATCGCAGGAAGAGCACATCCAAATGCCGTTTGATCTCAACGAAAACGAGGAGATCCCGATGGGTGTTTCCTCGCCCTTCGTGGGATGTTGTGGGGCTTGTTTTCACCCCTATTTGGGTGTTGGTTGGGATATGTTGTGCTTAGTGTCTTCCATTTGTGAATATGATGTCATATTATATTATATATATTAGTATATATATACATTACATGAGCAACTAGTGAAAGTATATGTTTAATTGACGCAGAAACGTGTGTTCTTCAGTTTTACCTGTTTAGGGCCCTCTCAAATTGTGCTAAGGGGCTTGGCGTCCGGGTGCTTGGCTTGGCGTCTAAGTTTCTGGGGGAAGATCGCCGATATTGCAGGCATCAGCATATCCTTGGCTTATGTCTATGCTGAAAACAAAGGGGTTGAAGATGTGCTTCTTAGAGAAAACATGTCTCTGTTTGATTCATGGGTCAAAATCCTGCAAATGTTTCTGCAGATGTCCTCGGGACACTCAATGGGTGCGTCAGACCAACGGAGGGAGTGCAACGCCCGGTTTGGTGAGATCTGCTGAGATCGCCATTGAATCAGGTTCCTTCAAGATGGTTTGCTGGCGGTACTAAGGAATTGGGCCATAGTGGTTTATTCAGATACATAACTCCTTGAAGCTCCTTCAAAACATGATACCCCACAAAAACGATAAAACAAGACACACATTTTACCAGTTATGAGTCCGAAACAGATACATTAAGAATCATTAAGATAATTGAATCTTCCTTAGGATGGTTGAAGCTTTGTCGCGACCATGGCTAAACCCATGGTGACCAGTGGGAACAAAAATGTCCAGCAATTCTACGCCCTGGAAGAGACCCACATGGAACTGGAGAAACCACTTGGATGGTGTAAAATGGTCTGCCGGTCCATGCCCGGTTCTATGTGGGTCTTCTGGTCCATGCGGGTGTATACCTTGGACCTACCTGGGCTTTGAAGCTCCGAAGGGCTCCGAAGCTCAGGAGGTGGCGGATCTGGGCATCAGGTCGAGGGGAACGTCGGTTTCGGGGTTGGAACTTCTTTGCAGACAGGAACGTCAATTGTTGTGAGTCCAAGATAATTGAATCATCTTACATAGGTATATACTGAGATATCTAGCATATCTTGAATCATATTGAAACATTAATATATAAGGTATATCATATGGCAAATATTTTTTGAAGTATATATA